TGACTTAGCAGTTGCAAACAAGGCTTATGTGTAACAGCAGCAGGTGCTCTACAGATCAGAGTAAAATACCACAGTAGTCACCTGTTCAAGTCAAGACCATTTATAACTCCATTATTTTTTCTTTTCATAATGGCTTTTTAGTGTAGATGACTGGGTGTTAGAACTCATCGGGAAAGCTGGTCAAAAGTTTTAAATAATGTCTCCCTCCCATCCCTGGAAAATATTAAATGAAATGTTTGCAAAATTTCCTCCCTGTTTTCCAACCCTGTTCTTGTGTTCTGTGCTTGGCTCTGCCATTGCCTTGCTGTATATGACCTCAGGGAACTGCTCTGTGCCTCAGTTTCCCCATGTAAAATGGTTATGTGTCTCCTGTGAGTGTTGTGAAGCTTGATTAGTGTTGATAAGGGGTGTTGAAGTCCTGGAATGTAAAATACAGGTGTTTTTCTTCTTGTTCCAGCTGCCCAGCATGTGCTGTCTGCTCTGTCAATGTGCGCTCTGACAATGAGCATCAACTCCTCCTTCAGCAATGGGAAGGGCCTGAGAAACCTCACCACACAGGACAACGGGGCAATCAGAGTCACGGAGTCAATTGCTATTATCGTCATTGCTATCTTCATCTGTTTGGGCAACTTGGTGATTGTTGTCACCCTTTACCGGAAGTCTTACCTCCTTACACTGAGCAACAAGTTTGTGTTCAGTCTGACACTGTCCAATTTCCTGCTGTCTGTACTAGTACTTCCTTTTGTTGTCACCAGCTCCATTAGGCGGGAATGGATCTTTGGAGTAGTTTGGTGCAACTTTTCTGCCCTACTTTACATGCTGATCAGCTCAGCCAGCATGCTCACTCTTGGTCTCATTGCTATAGATCGGTAAGCTCCTCCTTTTCATGATGAACAACAATGATTAATCCAAACAAGGTGCACGCAGCAAGATATTTTGTAATGTGGCTAAATGTACAGTAGAACCTCAGAGTTACCAACACCAAAGTTACAAACTGACCAGTCAACCACACAAGTCATTGGGACTTGGAAGGACACAATCAGGCAGCAGCAGAGAAACAAACAAACAAACAAATATAAGTACAGCACAAGTCCTGTGTTAAATGCAAACTACTAAAATAAAGGGAACACAGCATTTTTCTTCTGCAGAGTAAAGTTTCAAAGCTGTATTAAATCAGTGTTCAGCTGTAAACTTTTGAAAGGATAACCATAACGTTTTGTTCAGAATTACGAACAATTTCACAGTTATGAACAACCCAGTGGCATCGACTCTGTGGGTGCTGCAGGGCTGGAGCATCCACATGGAAAAATTAGCAAGTGCTTAGCACCTACTGACAGCCAAGCTCTCCTTTTGGCTCCCTATCCCCCCAGCACTACTTGCCTGATGGCGGCTCTGCTGACCAAATACTTCTCCTCCCTGCAAATGTTTGCCACCTGCCACAAAACTGCTGTTCCACAGTGTTTGAAAGACTCTGGGAGGGAGGTGGGAGGAGCAAGGACATGATATGATCGTAGGAGGTGAGGGCTTCAGGAAAGAGGTGGAGTGAAGGTAGAGCAAGGGCGAGAAGGGGCAGGTGTTTAAGGGAAGAGGTGGAGCATGCAGTTGAGCACCCTGCACCCCTTGCTAGAGGAATAGTCGGTACCCATGGACAACCTCCATTCCTGAGGTGTTTGTAACTCTGAGTAATACAGTATCCATTTAGGAACAAAGAAGATAGGCCATAGTTACAGGTAGGGGACTTGATCCTGGGAAGGAGTGATTGAAAGATTGGGAGTTGTGAAGTATAATCAGCTGAATTTGAGTTCCCAGGGTGCCTTTCTGGCCAGAAGGGCTAATGTAACTATTCAGTGCATAAATAGGGGAATCTCAAGCAGGAGTTGAGAGATTATTTTACCTCTCTGGTACTGGTTTGACCCCATGGAATATTGTGTCCAGTTCTGGTGCCCACATTGCAAGAAGGATGTTGATAAATGTTAAGGGCTTCAGAGACGAGCACAAGAATAATTAAAGGCTCAGAACATATGCCTTATAGCCCTAGTTTTATACTAGGCAGTTATTTTGAAATAACAAGCAGAGTGTCCACACTACAAGCCCATTATTTTGAAATAGCGGGCTGGTTATTTTGAAATAACTCCTGCTTTCCATGAGGAATAATGCTTATTTCAAAATAGTTATTTCAAAATAGCGGTAGTGTGGATGGTCATTCAAAGTTACTACTTCCCAGTGCTTCCTAGGGTTCTAAGTCAGGGTAGCGCATCCACATTAAGGGAGCCTGCCTCCGTCTAATTTCGAGGCGTCCCTGTAGTATGGACACGCTATTTTGAAATAGTTATTTTGGGAGTTACTATTTCAAAATAATTTATTTCAAAATAATTTCCTAGTGTAGACATGCCCATAATGATAAACTCAAAAAGTGCAATCTACAGTAAAACTCCAATTGTCCGGCATCCAGTGGTCCGGCACTCCCGATAGTCCGGCACCAACTGGAACCCAGAAGTGCTCCCGCCAGCCGGATAGTTGGAGCTGCTCTGCCCCTGGCTTACCCAAGTCCGCCATTGGTCAGCTTCAGCAGCGGTGAACTTGGGGAAGCCCTGGGGCAGAGCACCCCAGTTGCTCTGCCCCCGGCTTCCCCAAGTCCCCCACTGCTGAAACTGACCAGCGTCTGACTTGGGGAAGCCGGGAGCCGAGCAGGGGGGGGGGTGCC